CTGGCATTTGCCTTTCATTGGGAGCTATTGGATTATATGACTATATGACAAGCAACACTGGTTTCCCCTGATCTTACTACTCACAGGGCATCAGGACTAGTCTAAGCACATCTGCAGTGTGCTTAGTGACTCTCAACTTCAGTGGCCCCAAACTACTTCTCCATAAGACTTACATTATATTGTAACCTCTTATGGCTTCACAATCTTGGCTTAGTTCCCCTTTTCTCAGCATAAAATGTTAGTAGTGTTTGAGATAGTACTAAAAATGACCAGTTTTCTCTTGAACCCTGCTCTGGTAACATCAGATCTCTGTAATTTCTCTCCATTCTTCTACACATACACACACACACATACACACACACACACACACACACACACACACACACACACACCAATTAGGCACACGTTCATGCTATATGACTAGGTTTTATTTTATATATATTTCCTCCATTATTTCTTTTCTATTTTAATTAGTTGGAAAACATTGATAAGCTTCTTTTGTAGAACCTCCAATAGTTATTTGATCTACATTAATATTTGTTGATTGGTGGTTTACACTATATCCTGTTGATGAAATTTCATTGAAAAAATTGACACGTATGGTCTTAAGCACTGATTAAGGCATGTTCCTTCCTATATAACTTTTTAAAAATGTAAACAAAAACCCCTTCAGCTTTTGTACTAAAACATTGAATTACTCATAGTTAAACACCATTAGAGGATAAACAGAAGCCAATAACTCATGCTTAGTACAGTAATCAACAATATGTATCCCGGCTTTGAGACTGTCCTAATAGTATGTGGTGACAATTAAAATGATATTTAACAAGACGATCATGAGTCATTTAGTGAAATTAATGTATTACATAATTATCATTAGGAGACAACAGGAGACCTTTATGAAGCATCAAAATTCCATTGGAAGAACATTGTCATGTTCTCAGAGCTGCACAGTCAGATGGATATAGGGCCCTTTGGGGTGTTTTTCTCTTCTTTGTACATTCAAAAATGTTCTAGTTTTGTGTAGAAATGCCACCACCTAATGAACATCCACGATCACTGCGTTGGGTGATGAGTGGTCGGTTCAGTGTTCAGTTCTCAAAACCGAAATACATCATCTGTGTGGAGGCCCAAAAATGTGAGCCTATTTCCACCTTGTCTGAAGGTCAGAGTTTGAGGTTGTTCAAGGTCAATGGCCACAAGTGTGACTGCACACCCTGGCCTAGGGTGTGGTTACTTGGTGTTTTGGACATTAAGATGGCCCGTACAGGTAGATCTACTCCATTCTGACCAAAGGTCAGAGAATTCAAGCACACTCCTAGTCTTTCTTTTGAACTAAGAAGTTTGACCAAGGGAATGACTGTCTTCAGGATACTTGGTCTAGGGTGGGTTCTCTGCCTAAACAACAGAATGCTTTTCTCATGGATTAATGGCTTGATGTCTCAAAGGATTGAAGCAAGTAACTGTTTTAATTGTCCTTTGTATCATGTTAAAGCAGTCTTTTGCCTTCTTCCTTCTGTTGTATTGGGGTATAAAAGTGTATGGGAAATCAAATGCAGGTGATTTCAGTACTCACTCGAACTTCCTCCCAGTACTATCATCTTCTGTTTTAGTATTTTTACTTGTGTCTTCATTCTCGTTACTTATTTTTCTAATCCCCATGCCCCTACCCTGGTAAGTGGCAGCCTGGTCAAAGTTGGTCTCCGATAGTTCTATACCATGTCTCATCAAATGCAAGAACAAGTAAGTGGAGGATGTCAATGTAATACCTTTTCAGGGATCACTGGGGGAAACAGTGAAATGAAGAAAGAAGAAAATAAAAATTAACTACAAATTGATATTCTTATTTATATTTACTCATGTTTTTATTTATATACTATCTGAACTCTTATTACTTTAATTCTAGATAAAGAAAGTATGAATATGTAAATACACAGATAACCGAACATCCGTTTCATCTGAATAGTCATATATGATAGAAAGAATCTGTTTTAAACAATATGGTGTTCCAGAGTGGAATTGTAATATAATTCGCTTATAGTGATGGGCTTAGCCTCATGACTGGATTCTTATCCATTGTCTATTTCTCCCTGTGTACAGAGAGTCTCCAAAGACAGCAATTAATCTTTGTCACTTACACATCTGGTGTTCCCACATATCTGACTCTTTTTGGGTCCCCCGAATCTTCTACAACTAACACAGTATAGATAAACCTTAATGCCGTGGGATGTTTTGTTTATTATATATATGGCCTGCCACGTTCCCACTTCCTGTTTTGAATTGTGTGGTGACTATTCTGGTAGAGATTCCCAATCTCCCTTTGTCCCTCTTACCAATGCAAATCTTCTGTGTGTCTCTCACAGCATCATCATGATGTTTCCACACCAGTCTCTAGTTCAGACTTCTGTTGTCTTTCTTGGTGACTTGTAGAAACCATCAGAGTCCTGTACCCAGCTGTCACAGCGTCTGTCCTACTCTGGGAGTGTTCATCTGCTAGCATCTACCATCACATCTGTTGCCCCTATATAAGAATGTGCCCAATTGCTTATGATGGATAAAGGAAGACCACAGTGTATCACTCTACCTTCAATACTGGTAGCAGCCATGACTCAGCCAGAATCAATGACATTTCAGGGGTGTCGTTCTGGTACACATGTTTGTATCCTCCTTCAATGTCCCCTAATGCTAGGCACCTGCTTTTAAAGTGGTAGCCGGTCTAACGACTATTCCTATTTTGGATACTTTTTTCCTATACTTATTTTTTCCTCACTTCTAGTATTACCTGAAGGTACTAAAATTATTGATGTACGCATGTGTTTCTTGAGTATATATGTGGTGTATGCACATGTGTATGTGAGTATGTATGCCTCTATGGGCCCTGCAGAAGGCAATGAAGGACGCTGAGTGCCCTGTGCTAACAATCTCCGTCTTATCCCGCACAAGACAGTGTCTCTTACAGAACCCAGAGCTGTGTTGGCAGCCAGTGAGCCCCAGTGACCTTTCTGTCTCTACTCCCCACACAGCTGGGATCCAGGTATATTGTGGCCATATCTGGCTTTTTATGTAGTGGCCAGTGGTTCAAAGTCAGGGCCAAGTGCTTATGCTGCGAGTGTCCTTATCCACTGAGCCATCTCCACAAACCCCTAGGAAACTATTTCTATCTCAATCTTCTGTCACCTGTGATACTTGACAGTAGAGATGGCATGGGGGCATGGAGCCCATGGGTGGCTTCAAATCTGCTCTCTAGTTTGCAATGTAGCATCAGTGACACCATAATGGTTCAGGGTCTCCCCGGTGGTGAGTTGGGGGGGAAGAAAAATTCAATGTGTTTTCTCCCCTAGACTGGAGATGGTGACAGAAAATGATGACCGTGGAGCTGGCAGTCAAAGTATTGGCAGAGCTATGAAAGAAGAAAGAGCAGGTCCGAACTAGTCAATCACTCTTAGGACCTGGGCTGGGGAGGTAGCTCGGTGTTTGAGTACTTGTGTGGAAGTGAGAAGATCAGAGTTTAGATCCTCGGAATTCATATTCATGACACGTAGTTATGGTGATAATTCCAACTATGGAGATGGAGGTAAGAGATCCTTAGAGCAAGGAGATGAGATAGATCCATGGTCTCTGGGTTTGATTGAGTGAGTCTGCCCCACTGAATAAAGTGAAAGAGTCATCCAGTGTGTTTGCTGACATCAACTTCAACCCAGACCTCCATATGCAAGCACACCCACGTGTGTGTACAAACATGCATAAAACAGACACACACACACACACACAAACACACACTGAGGGGGAAAATCTTAGTACCTAATATGAAAATTTCAAGTCTACAGCAGCATTTAAAGAAAATGTCTTCTACAGTCAGAGAAGATTCTATTAAAAACTAGGTTCTATGTTTGGTTAAGAAGTAGTGGAATTCTAGAAAATTCTTATTCTGAGAACTAAGCAGACTCCTTTGTAAAAGTGAGCAAAAAGAGCACATCCTTGTTCTGAAAGACTCTCTCCACTACTGGAGGATGGCAGACTCTTTGAAAGATGGAGCGTTGTGGGAGATTCCTGTGCCCCTTGGGGCACGTTCTTAGAAGACATTTCTTTTCCTCTTCCTGGATCCAGACACGGGCAGTTGACTCAGCTGTACAATTGTGTTGTTTTGTCCTCTTTAGAGGTCCACAGCAATGGACTGCTTGATCTCAGTAAACACCGAGCCAAGTCAGCATCCTGTTCATAATGTCAGTTACCTAGGATGGTTCCCAAGCGTCAATCTTAGAGATGCCGCTGGAGGACACCTCCATGCTTCATCTGCAGGAGGCGCTTCAGAGGACACTCTCTGCCTCTAGACACCTCTTATCCTGTGCCTTCCAAGCCACAAGCTGTGCTGGAGACTAAGCATAGACCAAGTGTGCGAGCCTGGCTATAGTTTAAGAGAAATGATCGTTCACCAAAAGCAACTGCAGAGCTGAGGTTCCGGCTAAGGGCATGAGTGTTGCACTAATAGGCAAAGCTATGGGCTCTGTGCTAGCACTGAAGATAAATACTGCAGAAAACAGACATCGTGCCTGCATAGGAAGTAGAGGAACACACCTGTAAATTAATCCTAGAGTGTGCAAAAATACATAAGAAGGAGTAGAGTCTTAAACACAGATTAATAATGTCAAATAAATTTACAACTAGTGTTCTATATTTTGAATTAGGAAGGTCTACAGCCACACCTAATGGTATACTGAAATATAGTTTTCTAGACATATTTCACTTTTTTCCCAGAAAAGAAAATTAGATGTGTTAAGTTAGAAAGGAATGCTCTAATATCAACCTATGTTTAAATCACACAGTATCTTTAAATATGACACATAAAAATCAAGTGCACAGGATTTGACTATGAAATGGTCATAGAGAGTACTCAAAGAGTCATTTAATAGATCACCTGAACTGTGCCTCTTTTCGAAATTACAATGTGAGAAATTAGGTCCCTCCAAACAACATTTAAGCTACATGATTATTCCGCTTACCCTCACTTGTCCCACGAAGGCATTGGCCTCCTCCTCCAGCACGGAGAGATTCCTGGGCAGATAGGGATCAAACACGGGAGCGTTGTCATTGACGTCTGTCACCACGACGTTCACAGTGGCAGTGGAGGTCTGAAAGGAGGAGAGAAGGAGATTGTGAGAGGCGAGAGGAGCTGCCGTCATTTGGGATTCAGTCGTGTCCACACTGGTTTTTCTCTGCCTGAAAAGCATCTTGGTCCTTAGCTTTCCAAAGAAAAAGAGACATAGAACATAAAAGAATCAGCTTGAAAGCTTCAAACACCTCAAAAAAAAAAAAAAAAGATGGAGAAAGTCAATGATGATACAAAGGGCACACGTCTTGCTGAGAATGCCAAGTATTTCCTGGAGGCTTACCTCTCAGGTGATGCTACCTTTATTTAGTTCACATGCAGTGAGCATTTGTATATATACACTTGCACCCTTTCATCCAAAAAATATACTATTCTGTAGTTTTTCTCACTTGTGTATTTCCCTGTTTAAACATAAATACATAGACTATCAAATAGCATGGTATATAAATAAGCATTTTCAGGCAAGATGACACTGTCAGAATATATCACCTTAGTAAGTTTCCATGTTTACATTTAAACCAAGAATTTGAACCCCATGAGATTATTATAATATTAAATTACCATTGAAATTGCTGTGTTCTAAGCCCCCAGACAGTGACATTAGTGTCTGTTAAGCCGACCACTTTTGTGGAAGCTGTTTTCTTACAGAGAAATCTTGGCTTAGTGAATCAGAAAACGTTCTAGAGTACTTGGAGTCAGTAAAGTTGTCTTTATGTGTGACTTGAGTGTGAGCCGCCATCTAACCTGGCTTCTTTCCCTCTCTGTCTCAGTGTGGGGTGGTTGGCAAAACCCAAATACAGAAGGAAAGAGCCCTAATAAGCTAAGCCATACCGTACGGTATGGTACTAAAATGCTTAGTTGCATGCCAATGAGATACAAGAGGAAAAGAGAGAATGCAAATCCCATGAAAATATAAACACATTGAGCCCGGAACATCAGCGAAAGTATTTCTGTGAAAAGTTTCTATGAATCTGTGGGTAACGTGCAATGGAATTAGACCCAGAGCATGAACTGCCGTGGGTGGCTCTATAGAGGTGGCGCGGCGGTCAGCAAGGGCAAAGACACAAAGGAGGGTCTCTTGACTGCCAGAATGGAATGGCCTGGTAAAGTGACTCTAGGATTGGTTGTAAACAACACCACTCCTCACTTGCCTGCAGGGGTAATGATGTTTTTCCCAGCTTCCAAGACTTCTATTCCAAACTGTTTCTACTTTAACAAAATCAAGAGCGATCTTTCATATAACTTCATCCTAAACCTCCATATCTATTCTATAAACGTTCAGTTGCCATCCAAACTTACCACGCATCACAGAGCGGTGCTGACCACGTGTGACTTGTTTATTTGTGCCCACTGATGACCTATCCCATCATAATTGACAGCTACGTATACGTGATTTATATGTGTTTAATGTTCCGCACACTTTGTTTGAAAGACATAAGCACAGTCACAAAAGCATTCTGTAGCCCAAATATGAAAACTACCCAATGCCCATCCATAGCAGATATTTGTAAAGGGTTTGACTCATGTCGTGACCCAATGCCACAAGCAATCTTGTAGTATAGTTCCGGGACATAAGCTTGAGTGACAAGTCACTCACAATCATGTGTAGTTACAGGATTTCACTGACATAGATGAAAGACCTACACACTGACAGGAGTCATAGGACAGCAAGGAGGTCTGGAGAAAGTCCTGCATCACAGAAGGTTAGGGGAGTGCCCAAGTATGGGATAATTTGTTTCTTGCAATGGGCAATGCTCGGAGGTGCTTTCCTACTGCGGAAACTCATCACACTTTCAAGTTATGGCTTGTGCACTCTATTCTTTACATATTTCCAATGATACCGTTTAATTTAAAAGATGCAGGCAAACAAATACACATGTGTGTACGTATACTGTGAATTTATATAAAGATATTAAAATGTTTTCTGACTAGATGGAGTGCAGGTGTTTTATTTTCCCCTTGTAACATTAATATCTTTCTCAAATGTTCTCCCAGAGAGCTACATTGCTTCTATAACAGAAAAATATTCGAACAAATGTTATTTCATTTCAAGTTATGTGGGAAGTGAAGCCAGTTTTTTAAAATGTGTTTTAAGGGAGCAGTATTTCCCAATTTGCCTGAGGGTGAGCAAGGTATTAAGTCTGCCAGCTTGAAGCTAAGACCTCAGAGAGGCTGTGCTGGTGTTGCCGGCATTTTTTCAAGCTACCTTTATGTCCACCTCTGCCCTTCTTATCAATCTATTATGTTTTTAAACTCTCCTTCATCCCAGGGAATAGTAGGCTGGCAGACTATCTTGGATCCACTATCAAAGACTGTGACCTCTGGCTGGCTGATGCACAGGGGAACTGAGTTATCACTGAGGGAAGGACCTACTGATGGGAACTTGGGCATCCTTTTCTATGTTGTTCTGAGTGTTACAGGAAATGGCAGGAATCTACATTGCTGGGTGTGTTATAGTTCATACATTTTAAGAGAGGGACAAGCCTCATGTCAAAGTTGCCCAGTGGTCAGTACTGCATGTTCAGGCTCTGCTTGACTTGACATCTACTGGCCTACTCTTGACTATGCTGACATTGTCACAGGCTGCCTGGCGACAGGGCATGATGGTTTTAATTTTTAGATTGGTCAGGAATATAGTCGCCCTATGGTTCAACATGGATCAGGCTTCATACTAAGGACAGATTTTAGGTTTTAAACCTTAATTTCAAAAAAAATGAACATATCTGTGCTGATAAAGGTATGATTAAAGGACCCTTCTCACAATTAATTCTATAAGTCAATTTTAATATGACAATCAACAAATATCAAACCAATAAACCTAATAAATAAGACAATTGACATCAAATGCTGGTAAGGATGTGAGTAAAAGGGGCCCACCATTCGCTGGTGTAGGGAATACTCAAAAAGCTAAAACTAAATCTACAATATGACCCAGTATACCACTCCTTCGCGTATACCCACAGGACTCAACATCCAACTTCACAGATACTGGCTCAGCTGTGTTCACTGGTGTCTTTTTCACAATCGCTAGGAAGTAGAAACAACCTAAACGTCCTTCAGTTTAGGTTGTTGATGAATGGATAGTAAAAATGAGGTACAGAACACTGTGGTTACTATTCAGCTGTAAAGAAAAATGAAATCATAACGACCAGGGAAGGGAATTGAACTAGGGCTCACATCGACTGAGAAAACAAATACCTTCCAGGTTCTGCACCTTGGGATGTACATATACAGCCTCAAGTAACGGCAGGTACCAAGAAAATGGAAAGAGACCACTGGGCAGGGCTACGGAAGAGAATGGAGAGGAGAATGGAAGGACACGGGCATCATGAAGTCGGACACAGTAAAAGCGGGAAAGGCTGTGGGAGCCCGCAGTGTGACTCCACTCCATTTGACTTAAGGTCAGAGTTGAAGCTTGTTAACAGGAAAGTTTGGCCTAAGAATGGTCATTCGACGACGTTTTGCTCCTCAAGGCCATATACCAAGCTGTTTGAACAAAGGTGTGGTTACTAGATGTTTTGATAATTAAGAAGGTGACTATGCTTGTTTGTTCCTTAAATCATGATAAGGAAATCTTTTGCCCTCCCTTCTTGCCTTGGGTATATAAGACTAGGAGGAATAAATTCGAGGTTTCTACAGCATTCACCGAGAGCCCCCCTCCCCTGATTCTATCTTGTCTTTTGTTTCTTTTTTTCTTAATCCCCACACCCTTTATTAGGTATTGTTTGACAAGGCAGCTGGTCCAGACAGAAGACTTTAACTCGAGAGGAGCTATGGAGATAAGGCATTGGTAGAGGAAGGAAGGCGAGAATAACACTGGGACAGTCTGAAAAAGCCATAAGCAAATACAGTATTTCATAAGGTTATTGAAACACATGCAGAATTTCACACTGGGGGACAGTGCTCTCTACCCAGATATATTTGTTAGATATATTATCCAACAAAATTCTCAGTTTCAAGAATGGAGTTGTGGGTTGCAGGGTAACCAGAAGACTCCAAAACAATATAGGCTGTTGTTGTTGTCCTCTGGAGCTCCAGACTTGAAGCTTGCACTCCATTGTTGAAGACACCACAGACTTTTGACACAGCAATTGGGAAAAAATGGACTCACAGAGACGGCAGCATGCACAGGGCCTACAGAGGTCATCATCAGATGAGGGTCCTAAGACTAAAAGGAGAAATGGGCGCCCACTCCCCTTCCTAATGCAGGAACTGACCTGGAAGCCTCCTCCATGAGAACTCTTGCTCACATTATTAGAAATTGCTATTCAAGCTACCAAGGGAGAAAAGCAATTGGAAGTTTTACCCAGCTATCAAGTCAATGAACCACTACAATGCTCAGGAGAGATAAAGCTACTTATAGAACACAGAGGCCCCTCACCTGGATAAAAAAAAGTTTATTCATATTTTAGAAATTCATTTTTTTTAAAAAAATGGAAGTTTAAAAGGTTGAGAAAATTACGATGTATGACTGAAAGGTAGATTTTATTTTAATGCCAAATAAAACAAAGAAGTGGAAGGTCAGTAGTGAAAACACTATCTAGAGAATGATAATGGAAATAATAATAATAATTATTATTCTTATTTTTATTATCAGCCAGCCTTCTTGAGGCTCATGTATCAAGAGCCAGGGAAATCTTATTTAGGACACTGGATTTCCTCTGTGACTTGGAAAAATGTTCTTCCTGCAATTGAGGCTGAGCTGTAAAATTTTTCAAGGGAGAAAAGCAAGGAAAAGAGAGCATCATTTATAAAGACAGAGCAGGGAAGAGACCTGGGCATGATGGAAGAGAGACTCAGAGGAAGGGGCGCAGAGCACATGGTCTCTCTCCTCACCCCATTCCTGATTCTTAGAAACACCATGGGGGTGGTTGGCACAGTTTACCCAAGTGGAAGCTAGTCATAGAGAGAGGAAGAGGAATTTGTGACAATCAAGTCATATCCATGAACACAGAGCCAAGTTGGCCCAGGTTTTCAATCACAGTTTATTTTAGTCTGGTTTTGTTGGACCGGCCTTAGTTCATAATTAAGAAACATTACATGTCTTAAAAGGACAGAGTAAGTGTAAAACCATTCCGAGGAAAAGGGAAGCCAGAGTCTGAGAACCTCCAAGCTGTTGCTGGGAGTACATGTGACAATGTGTGACTGCTTAAATGCCAAGAAACATGAGGCGTTCCATCAAAACCTATCCCAGCTACACTTTGGCAAGCTCATAAACAAGCAGCAACTCTAAATGAGTGTAATTATTAATATGTGAAAAATGAATGTAATTATTAATATGTGAAAAACGACTTATGTCTGTGAAGATTAATAAAATCTACACATTTATAATAATAAACTGTAGTTAGCTTGCTGAGGTTTTTAATTATTTAGAATGAAAGCAGAAAAAAAATAAAGTATAAGAAAGTCAAATTACATAAAAAACAAATCCTCTCCAAAATTTACAATGAGAAATACTGTGTGAAGATCCTTATTTATTTTCTTATCAGTATTTAAAGAGACAAGAGATCTTCGTAAAAAAATTTACCCTGGCAATTTATTTCATATAGATTAATTTTAACTTAATTTTTGTTTAATCAAAACCTGACTACCCCTGACCTATGTTCAATACACATTTATTTAAAATTCTATGGTTTGCTTGAAATATTATTTTATTATGGCTGGTCAAAAGTTAAAAAGTCTAAATAAGAGAAGTGTTTTTAAACTACAGAATACATTACAATATATTGTATAGTTTTTCTTCAGGTACTCACTGTACCTGGTCCCTAAAAGCATATCTCCCAGTGCTGGAGAGATGTCTCAGCAGTTAAGAGCTGGTTCTGCTTCTGCCAACGTCCTGACTTCAGGCCCAGCACTCACACAGGGCAACTCAGAACTGGCTACAACTTCATCACCTCAGTGCTCTCTTCTGGCCTCTGCAGGCATCTGCATGCATGTGTACAATCTCCCCATTAAAAATTAAAAAATGCATATATAACAAATTACATGAATGGATAAACTACTCAAATCAAATATAGTTCGTTAAAAATCCAAACATTTCAATATTTGTTTTCAATACAAACTTTGGAAACGAGTCCAGAACTTATCCCAAAGCAACAAGTTTTTAAAGCTGAACGAGAAATTAATAATTAAAGAATGAGAAAATAGAAAGCTAGAATTGCTGTGACCCAGAAAGCAGAGCCGAGTTCCACCCGCGGATGACAGAAAATGCCCTGCTGTCACACAGTAGCTGTAACATATGGCTTGCGTAAATGAGCAGCGCCATGCTTAGCAGAAGGCGGCGTCTGGCCCAGACAGTGAACATGCTGGCTAGTCTCCATCTCGTCCCTTCTCTGAGGCATTTTATTTTGAAGGGTAGGGCTAAAATATCCTTGGTGATGTCACCGCTGCCATCAATTCCCAACTGACGTTTGATTCTCCCCAAAGCTATGTGTATCCTTTGCTTTACTTGTACCCATGGTTGCCTGAATGCCATTTTGTTCTAATTATACCCTTTACCTAACTACTTAAATACTTCATTTCCTTAGCACCCCCTCTCGGTTGTTGACTTGTTAGGTGACTCAGTAATCTTTAATATTATTGGTTTTTTTAAATTTTTTATTTTTTTTCATTCTGGCCCCTCTCTCTTTTCCCTGTACTCCTCTCCCCTCCGTTCTCACTCCCAATCCACTCCATAAGGTGCCATATTTTGTTGGTACTAGAGGAAGGTGTGCCCTTTCCTGGACTTGGTAATCTTTAATCATCAGTGAAATTGCACGTTTCTCCTAGAGAGTCTGACTCTTGCACATCCCTGCAGCACTGGCACGCTATGAATCATACATGTCTCAATATTCTTTGAACTGTGTTTTATTGCCTGCATAGTGCTTACCAAAATCTTTAAAATGTCAAATAGTTCTTATGGGAAGATTATAAGGGCCAATTATCTCTGTTTTTTATAACTTTATGAAGACTTTAATATTTTATTTGTATTATATGTATTTATTTGATATGTTTCCATCTAGGTAACTTTCCTCAGCAATCCTCCTGATGTGAATGTTTGAAACCCATTCTCTTATATTCAGACAAGTTGCCATAGAGAGCGAAATCCATTCAAGGGACTAGAGTATGTTACTGTTGACCTGGATGGCTCACTCCTCCACATCTCATAGGTTCAAAATCCTTTCCAGGCAGCTGTGTTGAGTTGACAGATAAGCAGTGGGCTAAAGGAGATGAAACACAGGGCCTGGGGGTATAGCAAGCATGAGGAACCCAAATGAGCTGGGCATGATGGCACAAACTTGTAAGTCCTATGTTAGTGGTGTTGAGATGGAGAAAATCCCTGGGACTTTCTGGCCAGCCAGCCTAATCTGAACACCAGCTCCTGGGTCAAGGCTTGAGGTTAACCTCTGCCCTGCAATTGTGCATGTACTGGTACACACATGAACACATGTATATATACATCTCATACATGCACACATACACGAGAGAGAGAGAGAGAGAGAGAGAGAGAGAGAGAGAGAGAGAGAGAGAGAGAGAGAATAATAAAATGGAAACCAAAACTGGTGAATAAACTCCAACTGGTGGCTGAAACGCTGCACTATTTGAAATCCAGATATGGAGACTGTGAGCAAAATGATTGAAAGAACGCAGACAAATGATGTTCAATTCTAGATTCTTATAATGGTGATCTATGGTAAAGGCTCAGGCCAGGCTCTGGGCTCAATTGCCAGAGGTTAAAATAAAGGAAAGAAACAAAGCATGCACACACATACACACACACACACACACACACACACACACACACACAATCTCCAGGAAGATAAACTCAATTTATTTATACCTAAAACTGATGATAGGTCTAGAATGAAGTGGGAAATGGAGTTTGCCCACTCTAAAACTATAGGTAGCTTTAATTGGAGATCATTAAGTTTTCATCAGATCCTGAGTGATCACCTCTGACCACAATTGAGCCAATTTCCTAGGCACGTCTATCTCTCTCATTCCTGCCTCTTTAATAGCGAGACCGAGTGGAGCATGTTCAACCCAGAAAGCCTCCGGAGGCACTCTGCTGCGGCTTGTGAGTGACACCAGGCGACGATTGGTAGAGAAAGTCTGAGTTCAGGTTCTCTGTGAGTTGCGAGCGAAGATAAATTGGCAAGGGTGTGGATCACAAGGGTCTGTTCTGCATATCAAAGGCCGAGGTACAGGACAGTCTCAGAGTCTGGATCTCTCTGTTAGGAAGCACTTTGGTGGCTAAGGCTCCTGATGGCTGTCACACATGCTTTAGAGTGTAGGGACACGGGACTCTTTGGTTTCCTTAGTCTTGCTTAGAGCCCCCTTTCCAGTGATCGTACTTACCCCATCGGGCCTGCCATCCGAGGCTGTGACGATGAGGATGTAGCGGTCTGTGCTCTCCCTGTCTAGCGCCTTCCCTAGCGTGAGAATCCCCGTGCTAGAGGCAGAGAGAGAAACAAAGAGACAGTGTATCATGTGAGTTCTTCTTTTCCTGATTTGGATGTAAAGGTTCCTGCAGACCTTTTCATCTCTCTCTTCTCTCCCTCCCTCTTCCCTCTCCTCATCCCTCCTCCTTCCACCCCCCATTCCCCACTTCTGCCTCTGCCCTTTGCTCAAGTTCACACCTTACCTTTGCTTGTCCCCTGCCCCCACTGCTTTCTATTCCTCCCTACAAATTAAAAATTGCATATTTTCTTTTATTTTTCCCATGAAGCAGGAGAGGGTCCATTGGGAAGAACTATTTTGATTATTTTTATCCACTTTGCATAATCGTAAACTGAGTATTAAAGTGTGATTCTAGGATGCACGCTGAAATCAGAAGTGATCCTTTAAAGTGGTTGAGATTCTTAGCAATAAGGAGGAAATTGCAAACCTGAATGAGATCACAGAGATGATTCTCAACCTTCTAGTGGAAAAATCAAGCAAAACAACATCATTACAGTTAACTCATTCCTGGGAGAGACACGCATGTGAGTCATGATTTCAAAGTAAAAGGCTCCATAGTTCCCAGGCAGCATGACAATTCTCAGTCAAGGCTCCCCTTACAAATCTCATGTGTTTTCTTTTTTTTAATATTTATTTATTATGTATACAATATTCTGTCTGTGTGTATGCCCGCAGGCCAGAAGAGGGCATCAGACCCCATTACAGATGGTTGTGAGCCACCATGTGGTTGCTGGGAATTGAACTCAGGACCTTTGAAAGAACAGGCAATGCTCTTAACCGCTGAGCCATCTCTCCAGCCCCCCTCATGTGTTTTCCTATGTATTGTAAAGTGCTTCACTGGGAAACAAGCTTTCTATTTGACAAATTCTATGATGAAGACTATTTTCCTTTGCATGCCCATTTATAGAACTTATAAAAAAATCAGGTAATTCAAAGAGTATATTAACTCTGCAGTGTACATACAATCTGCACAGAAGCCCATGAGTCTTCCCTTTCCCCATGTTCTAAATCTTGCTTTTTCTTCATAATCTTTTTTACCTGTATGTGAACTCCTCCTACATCTCCAAAGCTTTAATTTGCATTACTGAATCAAAGAAACTACATTTCTACATGCTTATTAGCTATCATTTATCCACATACACAAGTGCATGCTTACGCACATACACACACATGCGCACACACACACGTGCACACACACACACACATTCACAGGGAGGAGGAGTGGGAATGGTGGAATAAGGTAGAGAAGGGGTGCCTCCTGAAATAGTCGCCTATTTTTAATCATGTTCTTTATCTTTTTACTTTGGGGTTCTTATGCACTTTTGATTTATGATTATTATACTACATATTACATAAAGTATTTTATATAAATGTTGGTGACCTTTCATTTCAATGCTGGTGCATTTGAACCATATTTCTTATAAGTTTTTGGATGGACATCAATATACTGACCTATTAATAATTTGTGAATTTTGTGCTATATAGGTGGATAGCATATTGCCTAATTTACGCATGTAATAAAGGTTTTCTTCTAAGAGTTCTGAAGTTTTACTTCTTGTATGTAGATCTGCTACTTATTTTCCGTTAATTTTTAAGAATGCTGTTAAGACTCGACCTCATTCCCTCTCACTGTGTCCACAGCTCACCATTCTTGATAGGATGGGCTCTGGCCCTGTTTGCTAACTGTTAATGTAACTCTATTTCAGTCTTGGCGTGGATTCTTAGCCTAGCACAACTACAGTTTCAATAGAAAGCCTTTCACGTCATTTCATTATTAATGGAAATTGCAAACTGTGACCAATTTATGATTTCGACGTGTCTGTGGAGGAAATTTCAAATAGATAAGATTTTCTGTTGTTAAGTAGAAATTACTGATCCAGCTTTTAAATCCAGAGAGGTAGGCCAAAGCTGCTACTGTCTCCCTAAGACTTTTGGAAATGACTTGACTTTTTCTCATAAAACCCTATCATGTTAGATTTTGTTGGTCGTAAGATTAACAGACTTTCACATGGCCTACTTGATTACAAACCACATATTCTAGCAGCAGAGGCTGTGGCTACCTTATTGTAACCACGGGTAAGTTATCTCTCCCTACATACACCGGCAACAGATGTGGAAACATCAATTTTGCTCTTTAGAAAGACCCCCCCCCCCGCCCAGGCACCATGATGTAGACCAGAAGCCTGTGGTGTCTCTACACTAAGGATCTTCTCGAATGCCCCTACCTATTACAAAAGCTATGACCCGAGTATCTCTGATACCTTGAGAGCAGGTAGACTAAAAATGTGCTGCGATTTTATTCCATCTTAGATGTGATGTAATACACCTGGCTGCCAAACCTCCCTTCAAATGAACATGGAGTTAGCGCTGTGCTCTTTGCAGCAATGCCCTCGTCGCTACGAGCAACTGACAACATTGCAGGCACCTAATTAGGCCAAGGCTTTGCCTGCCAGTGAAATTTTTCCACCTCGGTGGATTTTGGTTGATAAAATTGTTTAAGATAAACAAATAGTCTCCTGGGGAAAGGTTTGGTGTTTAGAATTACCTCCAGTGCTCATTAGCATTCATAGAAAAAAATGTAAACTAAAACTACAAACAGCCGAAAGTCTGTCCTCTTGCTACCAGCGTGTCGCTTGACGTTAACAGGGGGCAATCAAGTGTAAATCATTTCCTTGTAACTTACGTTTCTGAAAGATTAAAAACTCGCTGAGGGTCTCCATTCTCGATGGCATATGTGATTGGGTCTCCCTCTCGATCAGTTGCCTTCAGAGAAGAAAACATAATTCAATTACCAACTAATTACAGAGGGTTCAGACTATTAGTGTTAAGGAATAAAGCATGACCTAATGTCAATGACTGGATAAAGAATTTTACACTGAATCTTGGCATTTTTGACAGTACAAGAATTTCATGTGTGTATAACTGTGATAAAAGTTAATTTATATAAGTTAATGAGCTTAACCGTTTTATTTTTAGGCACCTATGTCTGGAATGTAAACAATATGTTAAATGATACCTACATAATTGGTTAATATATTATATATGAACTAATATTAAATAAATAATAATTAAATAATTATTGTTTAATATTTAATCATTATATTAATTAATATATAATTAATTAATATATAATTAATTAATATAATTAATCATTATAATATTTAAACACTTTTCTATTTAAACTCTTTCCTCCCAGGTCAAAGTGTATCAAGATTGTATTCAAATCAGCAAAAACAATTCTGATTAAAAATCTTGAATTCAAAGTTAGAGTACACTTACCAGCTATGCAACTATTTCTCAGTTTCTTTGCTCATAAAAAAAAAGCAGGCAATGGCACAAATTGTAATGGAAGTTGAGAGATCTAAATTGAGACACTATATCAAAGCTGATATTTAGAATATTGCAAACTTTCAATAAGTTTAACTATTTTATCATTGCCGTGTTTTCTTCTTTCCTAACCTTGGTCTAAGAAGCAAAACCGTGCATCTTCTCACACTGAGTTCTGTGTTACTCTCCTTCAAAGCAGAGACATAAGTATGTGTTGGAAGAGGTCTTGCCCATTTCAAAACATTTAATACTTTCCTTTTACGAAGAGCCATCAAATTCCCCAGTGAAGTCATGGGTGGAAAAAGGACTCTGGTGACTGTGTGAGGAATATCAAAGGGAAGTCATTGTTGGAGAATGGAATCTCAATGCTGCTCAGAGAATGTCAAGGGACTTCTCTGATCTTATTCTAGGGCGAGGGGATTATCCTTGGGGTGAGAAGAACCTTATCCGTGGGTCACTGTTCAGACACAGCCTGTTCCTTGGGTAAGATAAGCTCTTGCCTGTTACCGACCAGATACTAGGCTGTGCTCTGACAGCTATTATTGCTTTGGAATTGGACTCAGGAATAGGGTGGTCACTGGACTTCCTTCAGTAGGATATTAAGTGGATCAGACAATCACAGTCCAGTATGTAATCCATGCCCCACTGGACAGGAAAGCCATTTCTATTGGCAAGTCAACCTAAGCAACCTGCTACAGGACCTGAACATGCAACATCCCTCCAAACTTTCACACTACAGCCATGGCTATGAACTCCTCCAGGACAGTGCATTCCCATACTCCATGGACATCTGAATAGTTGCACTTCAGTTTGTAATAAACTACCATTTTCCATATTACAAGACTCTGTCCAGTCTGCTTCCTGCATGGCCAGTTCCTCTCTGTGATTTATGTTCTCCTGCAACTGTCTCATTTATGAAACAAGAATCTGCTGTTGGGTCAGCGATATGGCTCAATGTGTCAAGATACCTGCCACAGAACCTACACTCCCCAGGACCTACATGGTAGAAATAGAAAAAGAAAAGTAACACTTGCAATCGTGCTCTGACGATTCGACATGCACTATAGAATGTGGATGAACAGACTACCCACTATACACACAAATAAATGACTGTAGTAATAAAAAGAACTTGCTACTTTCCTTGCCTTGACATCTCAGAAAGGACCAAAGTCTTCACTCCCCATCTCGCCTCTCCATGCATCTTCTATTCTTTAGCCTGCATCTTGAATCCTCCTGCCTTCTCAGGCTGACACACCACACATACTCGCACCTCCCTCATAGTCTGACTGGAACACTTGATTGTGACAAGTTCCTTCCTTACTAGAGATTTACTTCCAGTAAAAGTGATCAGCACTTTATCAACAAGTCTAGGTGTTACTCTTATACCCTCACAATGGATAGTTTTAGCTCAACAAAGTATTCATCATTTCTAGGGCCAAACGTTGTTCCTTTAGGTCAATGCTATGCCACATGTACATACACACAAAGATTATGAGGTGTGAATTAGAATAGTATAAGGAAAATCTAGGAAAAGTCTAGATACACAATTCTCACTTTTGTGAAATTAGCTACAATGAATCTCATAAAGAAAAAGAATCACCCAATGACTAGTCCTCTTTGTTTTCAGTTTGTGAGGAAAAAGTAATAGAACTTGGCGAGTGCCTTTTGCTACTAAGAAGCTGACACTAAGACATTTCTCACTTGTCCTCTTGCCCCTGTGAACAAGAACTCTCCACTTGCTCATTGCTCTGTAGTTGGGATTTTGTTGTTGTTTGCTATCTTCTTTCCTTTTTCTTCTGGAACAAGTTAGCTCTTTATGTTTTCAAAAGTGTGAGAACATAGCTTCTGAAACAGGGTTTCTATGTAAGCCCTCACTAAGTCTTCATCAATATAGAAGCCTTGTTCGCACTGTTGGGAATGGAACCCAGGGCCCCCTGCCTTCTAAGCACTCTGCTCCTGAGCTACACCCCATCTCTGGGTATGGAATCTTATCTCTGAAATATTTTATATTTATTTATTTATCCATTTATTTAATTGATGAGGGGCATATATGATGAAGTGTGTGTGTAGGTCAGCAGACAGCTTGCACAAATCAATTTTCTCTCTCCGATATGTGGGTCCTGGATATCTAACTCCAGTCACCAGACTTGGTGGCAGCACCTTTCCCCGCTGAACCATCTCACTGGCTGGCCCATGAATCCTTTAATGTGCAGGAGTGACCACAGTTTATAATATTGGGAATGAAGGAACTGTGGATACAGTGCAACTTTATTTGCATCATTTTTTTGTGGTGTTGGTAAATTACAGTTTTATCTGAGGTTGACAGGAATTTTATTGGTAAATAAAACGTGCAGACGAGTTCAATTATGCTATTATTTCTACCTTCCTTTCAACCAGAGTACTTGGTGGGTTGGAGAGATGGCTCAGAGGTTAAGAGCACTGCCTGCTTTTCCAAAGATACTGAGTTCAATTCCCAGCATGTACATGATGGCTCACAACCATCTGTAATGAGAGATCTGGTGCCTTGTTGAGGAAGAGACCTGATCAGTTGTCCTCATTAACTTAGATCATGAAGCCCAATATGGACAAGTTCAACAGAACTGCCATATATGGGCTGTCCATGCATGCTTCAGCATTGCCAGGGCATAAATTTTATTTCATTTGGTGCTCTAATAATTAGTGTTTATCTTGAAAAGGGAAAATTTAGTCATATCATACATTTTTCATGCAATAAGTAGCACTCACTCCTCCTTATTGCAAAAATATTTCTAACATATTTTTTATGCCAGTACAGTGAAAAATGAGCCCCTTTTTCAAGAGTTTGGAAAGGGCACTATCAATTATAATAACAAATAATAAAATAAATACATAATAAAAGTGCCATATCTTCCTTTGATATAGAATCCACTGGGAGGCTCTGGAGTTGGCTGTCAGGTTGGTCCCCGGCTGTTATCTATTCTGAGTTAAGATACCTAAGTTTTAAAAAGCTAAATGATGAGTACCATATCTGCTCCTTAATTAGCCTCATATTTATTAGGCATTTCACCTATGTCAAGCTCTGGAAATTCGGGGATGAGCAGCAGAGATAGACCCCTGCCTGCTGTTTATATTACTGGGGAGCAAAGGGTCAACAGATTTGAATGCAGAATTTCCAGGTCCCTGTGAAATAATTCAGGAAGACCATCTAGAGATGATGGTAAATTCCCCTTCACATATGACTGATCAGGACAGCATAACTTAGTATATGAAACTCCAGTGCTTGCTTGCACATGGGGTAGGAGAAATGCAGGCCCGTGGAGAGCAATCCAGGCAGGAGTGGGGAGCTGAGAGAGGCAGAACCTGCTCAGTGGGTGTGAGGGAAGCTACAAGAGCTTCTTAGCTTGGTACATAGAAGACAATGACTGGCGTATGTTTGGCCACTGACCTCAAGCTAAGTGACTGAATGATGTTGACTTTGAATGGATAGGATAGCAAGTGATGGTATTTAGCCATCAATTTGCTGATATGTGTTCACTTTAATGGCTCAAACAAATCTAAGTTTTTCTTTATTTATTGCTGGAAGGACAAACAGTACCTTTGTAAACAACACTTTATAGTCAATTCAACCAGACAACTTAATTTATCTGTTATGAAATTTTCATCTTCATTTTCTTTTATTTTAAAACTTCCAATATAATAACACCATCTCCCCTCTTCTTTTTCCTCTTTCTGAGCCCTCCCATATTCCCTTCCTTGCTCTTTCAAATCCGTGGCATCCTTTTTTATTTTTTAAAAAAGTCAATTGCTATTCTCTGCATACATGTACACATTTCAGGGGCACAAAAACTCCCAAAACTATTCAAGTAAGCAACGTCCTCAGGGTCTAGAAAAGAACTGTGAAAACTAAGCAAATCTATATACAGTATTCTGTCAAGTTATAGAGGAACAGAGCCATCAAATGCCACCTGGTGGAGTGCACCTTGACACAGAGAATGATGCTACCCATTTCAGAGTATATTAAGACAAAGTACCAGCCTGTTGGAACTCTAAGGAGATACAAGATCAATGGATTTAGATGAGCTTCTCTCTCACTGAGGCAAACAGGCCCTGACAGACGTTATTAAGCTCTTGAGAGCAAGAACAAAACCTCAGTTTAACAAAATAGTATCTTCCTCTTTTTGAAAGATTCTTCTCCTTAATGTGTTTTCTTTACTATGTTGGATGTTTTATCTACATGTATGCGAATGTACCACACACCTGCTGAGTTAGTGTCTTTCAACACGTGCTTACTCCTGATGTTAAACTGTTGGGCCTTTGATCAAATGACATCATCATGAATATATTTTGGTATAGATTAACATGTATACCCTGTTTAGGTGAAGGAGTATTGATATAAAAATCATTTTTCAAAATAAACATTCAAAAGATATACTTATTAAATAATCAGAATATGTGAA